ATATTTAAAAGATTTTTTCGAAAACATCTAAAAGAACTAATGAAATACTCAATTTCGCTTAAAATAACTGTTGTATCCTATATAAATATATATATTATGTAAACACAGAACTAGTTGCTTCAAAATTCATGTTATAGTCAAAATTGCAGCTCAGGCTATAAATTAGTTTTTGGCAGATATTGGCGATGTATCTGAAGCCTGGCCGCTTGGGACCCTCAATAGTAATGAAGAGTTTAACAACCATCGATATTACCCGGCGATCGCTGCAAATTACCAAAGCTCTCAGCGCTAGAAAGGATAGATCGTCCAATCTTAAAGTGGACAGCTTTGCCAACGGCAGCAATGCCAGCTATATTGAGCGACTGTATCGCAAATGGGCCAAGGATCCAAATTCAGTGGATGAGGTGAAATTGCTTAATATTTGTCGTTGTGGTGCTCTGAATTCTGATCCTATATTCGCTGACATAGAGCTGGCACAATTATTTCACGGGCAAGCGACGCACGATTAAGCAGGATAGACAGCTGAAGACCAAGCACCGGAAATGGGAGCCCGCAGCAGCTGGAACGGGAGGCTCGACTACAACGCCTGCTCCGGCAGCCGACTGGAAGTACATCGATGATCACCTGGTGGTGCAGGCCATCATCCGGGCGTATCAAACACGTGGTCATCTAGCTGCTGATCTCGATCCATTGGGCATTGTCGGACCCACGGGCCATACACCATCCACCGAAGACAAGAAGCTGCAGGCAACCAAGGCGGTGCTGCGACAGCATTACGCATATGCATTCAGTGAGCTATATAACTGATAGAGTAACCATATATAATTGATAGAGTAACCAATTCAATCCTTCAGACGATTTAAATGCCCTTTTTAAGCTGCCAACAACTACGTTAATTGGTGGCGACGAGCAGTTCCTCCCGCTTAGGTAAGAGGAGAGCATTGGATGAGGGGGTTCAGTTCTCTAACTTTCTAATCCGCAGAGAAATTTTAGATCGTTTGGAGCGTGCGTATTGTGGCCATATCGGCGTGGAATATATGATGATAACATCAATTCTGAAAAGCACCTGGATACGCCAGCACTTTGAGGTGCCTGGCGCTATCAATTTCAGTGCAGAGGAGAAGAAACTCATACTTGAGCGACTGACACGCTCGTCGGGCTTTGAGAATTTTTTGGCCAAGAAATACTCGTCGGAGAAACGCTTTGGGCTCGAGGGCTGTGACATAATGATACCCATCATGAAGGAGATCATCGATCAGTCGAGCAAATTGGGCGTCGAGTCGGTGCACATTGGCATGGCGCATCGTGGTCGTCTGAATGTGCTGGCCAATGTTTGTCGCAAGCCCTTGGAAGAGATACTGTCACAGTTCAATAGCATTAAGGCCACAGACGGGGGCTCCGGCGATGTCAAATATCATTTGGGATTATTCACAAAGCGCTACAATCGGCAATCGAAGAAGAATGTGCGCATCACAGTTGTGGCCAACCCATCGCATCTGGAGTTCGTCAATCCTGTTGTGCTCGGCAAGGCACGGGCAGAGATGTTCATGCGCGGCGACTATCAGGGCAACAAAGTGCTGCCCGTGTTGATACATGGAGACGCCTCGTTCTGTGGCCAAGGTGTTGTCTACGAGTCCATCCACTTGACGGATCTGCCAGCATATACCACCTATGGCACGATTCATGTGGTCGTCAACAATCAGGTGGGTTTCACCACAGATCCACGATTCTCACGCTCCTCCCGCTACTGCACGGATGTCGCGCGAGTCGTGAACGCGCCCATCTTCCATGTGAACGCCGACGATCCGGAGGCGTGTGTGCATTGCGCACGCGTTGCAGCCAAATGGCGCGCGAAATACCACAGGGATGTTGTCATCGATATCGTTGGCTATCGCCGCAATGGCCACAACGAAGCGGACGAGCCGGCCTTCACCCAGCCGCTGATGTACCAGCGCATACGCAAGCTGAAACCCTGCACAGTTAAGTATGCGGAGAAACTGGTCCACGACGGGGTCATCAAAATGGAGGAGTATACGGAGATGACCGCAAAATACGAGAAGATATGCAACGAAGCCTTTGAAAAGTCGCAGAAAATCAAAACATTTAAGGTGAGTTAAACATTGTAATGCAACAATGATATATGGTAAATATCCACTTATAGAACTCCCACTGGATCGATTCGCCCTGGTCGGGCTACTTCCAAGGTCGTAATCGCCTCAAGCTGTGTCCAACTGGTGTGAATCTCAAGGTTCTAATGCACATTGGCAATAAGTTTGCCTCGCCGCCGCCCACCGAGAATAAGTTTACATTGCACAAGTAAGTAGATATGTATATATATACTATATCTATATATTCATTATCTATATCATTTTTCCCTTGACAGAGGAATTATGCGTATTTTGGGCATACGCAAGAAAATGGTGGAGGATAAAATAGCGGATTGGTCACTGGGTGAGGCCTTTGCCATTGGCACATTGGTCAAGGATGGCATACATGTCCGCATATCTGGGCAGGATGTAGAGCGCGGCACGTTCTCGCATCGACATCATGTGCTGCACGATCAGACTAAGGACAAAGTCAGATACAATTCACTGCAGCATCTCTATCCTGATCAGGCGCCATATGATGTGTGCAACAGTTCGTTGTCCGAGTGCGCCGTCATGGGATTCGATCTGGGCTATTCGATGGCCAATCCTAATACGCTGGTCATCTGGGAAGCGCAATTTGGTGACTTTGCCAATACGGCCCAAGCGATCATCGATCAGTTTGTGGCCAGCGGCGAGACCAAATGGGTACGACAGTCTGGTCTAGTTCTATTCCTACCGCACAGCATGGAGGGCATGGGTCCAGAGCACTCATCTGGCCGCCTTGAACGTTTCCTACAGTTGAGCAACGATGATCCCGATTGTTTTCCGGTTATGTGTGATTCCGACTATGTTGCCCGCCAGCTGCTCAACTGCAATTGGATTGTGACCAACTTGACGACGCCGGCGAATCTCTTTCACGCCTTGCGCCGACAGGTGGGCATGTCTTTTCGCAAGCCCATGATCAATTTCTCGCCCAAATCTCTGCTGCGCCATCCGTTGGCTCGCAGTCCGTTCCGAGACTTCAACGAGTGCAGCTCCTTTCAGCGGATCATACCCGACAAGGGCAAGGCATCCCACAATCCCGAGTGTGTCGAGCAGCTGATCCTATGCAGCGGCAAGGTATATTATGATCTGGTCAAGGAACGTGACGATCACGACCAGGAGGCGACCACTGCCATAGTCCGTGTAGAGCAGGTGAGTTGACTCTTTATTCATAGGTTGCACCACCTTAGTGTATTCCATTTCCATTCACAGATCTGTCCCTTTCCATACGATTTGATCTACAAACAACTTGAGCTATATCCAAAAGCGGATCTTTTCTGGGTACAGGAGGAGCATAAGAATCAGGGCGCCTGGACCTATGTCCAGCCGCGCTTAGATACCGTGCTTATCGAGCTGAAAGCCAATGAGTAAGTGTTTTTTTTTTTCTGTTTTTTTGCTGCTCCTATTTCACTTATCTAACAACTGGCAATTGGCAATTTCTTTGCGCTAAATGCCAAGGCGCAATGCCAAAGGCCTTGGTCTACTGCCTAATGATTCAGGTGCGACGCGCCTTCAAAATGTCAATTGATTATCATTTGCTCGTCGCCCGTCGCCCGTCGCTCGTCGCTCGGTGATCAGCGATCGTTGGTCGTCGCTCGTCGTTTCTCTCGGTGACGCTAGCCATGATTCAAAATGGCGTTGGGCGACATGACGCCATTATATCGAGAAACGTCTTCGTCTTGGTTGACATTAAAATCTAGCTAGTGGCTGATCGCTTTCACATTAATCGATCTTCGAACAAAAACAAACCAAAAACCGAAACGTGTGCCAAACAACGTGCGACGTGCAAAAGAAAAAAAAAAAAAAAACGGAAGCGATTGCGGTGTAGGAAATTAGACTATGCTCATACCCTGTAAAGGGAGTGTCAGTAGGGAAAAAAAGTTTTGCGGATTGTGGAATTTATGTAGATTTGCTGGTAGGCTTAATATTTTAGTTTTTATTCTTAGTAAATTATTCCATAACTTTATAATTGTCATTCAAATTCTATGCATATTACCATTTAATACATACCTGAATCATTTGTCAAGTATTTACAGGGTAAATCGAGGTACAGCTTAAGGTTTTCAGCTGTTCTTATAAAATGCCAATGTCTCATAAATATCAGTGTGTATTCCCTTATGTCTCAGTCATACTGCATCTTTTATGTTACCATTTACAGGGTATCTATTAAAAAATAGCACTTGAAGGCTGATCTCACTCAACTCGCAGCTATGAGATTTATAGGGAATGCGCGCATTTGGTAAACATTTCAATATATTTCATGTCAAATACATGTTTGGCCTTTTTCTTTCCAAATGAGCTCTTGATAGATATATATACATATACATATATACATATATATTCTTATATCTATATTTATGTATATATACTTACTTATATATAACTTGTGACCTTCTGTAAGTTCATATCTTGTTGACAGCACGTGTCCGTTTGCTTAGGCCGTGTGCGCTGAGTAAGCTCTAGAAAAATGTTGTTTTGTGTCTTGTGTGTCTTCTGTTTGATTGCGATAAATTGCAGCCCGTTCGCTTTCTGAAGGCTCCAATAATTATTTTCAATTTTGTATTTGGCTTTTTGCGTTGTTAGTAATTAGCCTGGCGTCCACAGTCCCCGACACCGGCCTCGGCTCTTTTTGTCTCTATGCACTTTGAACAAATTGCGAGACAGCCAGCTCGCGCTGTATTGCTTTAGCTACGGCTGTGGCTATGTCTGTGACTCTGCTTGTGTGCAATGTGGATGTGTGGCTGTGGATGTCGATGTCCATGTCGCTGTCGCATGAGAAACTAGCGCAAGGAACTTGGCACAGTTTTTAGTCGGCGTTTGATAC